TTTAATATATAATAGATTTTTAATAGTTATATTATTGATAAAACTATATTTTCGACATTGCAAATTAGTTATACGCTTTCGGATTTCAGAATGAAGGACCGTTTAATAGTTAAAATCTCATATAATTTTCCATTCAATAAATATATTTTATTTATAAGATAATTATTAACTTGTTCTTTATTATTCTACGTATGTTAACAAATATTTACCCCTTATATTATATTGTAATTTACTATAATTACATTTAATCGATTATTAAGGGGAATTATTAATTTTCGCTTTTTCTTTTTGCTCGGTTTTTATTGTTTTAACCTTCTATTTTAAGTTTTTTTTATCTGTTTCTTTCTTTCTTTCTTTTTTTCTTTTCTTTTTTTTCTTTTTTCTTATTTCTTTTTTACATGTTATACTCATCCCTCTATGTCTTTTCATTATACTTCGAAATATGTGTCTTTCACAAGCTTTTATACTTTCAGCTTTCTTTTTTGCGACTCGGTATTGCCAATTCCCATTTTTATCTCCGCATTGTTTCAACTTTACGTCGACGCTCGATGTATCCTACTTGGCAAGTCATAGATTCGCCAGGAACAACTCGAAACTCAGGTTTATAAGCTTAGGTACTGACTTAAATTACACGAATTAAATAAATGCGGAAACTTGTGATGATCGATCTTTTGTAAATAGTATTTTTGCCCTTTTTGACTTTTATCGCACATCTCTCATTCCGCTGTCTCTTGTGAGGATTTTGCTCTCATATCTATTATGACTTCGTAATGGTAATTGATTTTTATGAACAAATTTTGTTATTATCCGATACTGTATTATCAAATTGGTGAAATCGAATTAAAGTAGGCGATTGACAAAGAATTATTGTACAAGTCAGTATTTTCCAGAGTTACGGATTTAAAGTTGTTTTTTTATAGTAATGTGCTAACGAAATCCATAAAACAACGAGTTGTTTTCATATACTAAGAAATCATTGTATATAGTAGAAATTACTTGTTTAATATTATTTGAACTTTTAGAAATTACTTGTTATTTTAATCCTAGGTGCATTCGCTATTATTTTTATTGAAAAAAATAAAAACAAAAGAACTTTCTAGTAAAACCAATTTGACATTTCTTAGGAAGTTTGAATGTTTTTATTCATCGTACATTAAAGAATAAATTTATTATATTTAAATGTTTCAATGATAAATTAAAATTTTCAACAAATTTATCATAAATAATTTGTTAATTATTAAATGGTTATTAAACTACACTAACTTGCGATTTAACATTTTAAATAGATAATGATAGTAAGTAATCCGTACTATTTATCTACCCAATTCTCGTTAAATATAATGTATTTATGTTCAATATGAATTTAAACTAAATTTTTTTATCATCAATGCTTACATAATAAAAATTACAAAAATAGTACGCAAATTTACTTATTGTTGGAGTATTGTGTTCTAACTTTTTTCTTCCTTGGAAATTTCAGTTTTATTCATAAGGTTTTTCAAGCGTGTCAAACGTCTTTTAATTCTCCTTTTCAGTCATTTTCTGAAGACGAAAAAGAGAATCTATTTTAATATTATGAATAGTTGTCGGAGAGCAACAAAAAATAAAGCTCATACTATGAGCAAGTGTGATCGAAAAAGTATAGAATGGAAGAAAAAAACGAGATAATGTGTATTTACTTAAGATTATAAAAAGCCATAAATTCGCATGTGGCGTCAAATAAGTTACGTACTTAAGTAATTTTTATTGAGTAATCTTTTCGATTATTCTTTTCTTAAGTCGTTATTCAATTTTTTTTTTTAATTTCATGGCCATATATTTTTTATAATTATTAAAATTACAATTAATAAGTGTGATTTTATTAATTTAATTCTGTGGATCCGCATATAGCTTTTAAATTCAGAAAAGAAACTTTTTACGAGGTGCAATTATTTGTGCAACGTAACATTTTAGCTGTTACTACTTAACATATAAAGTTTTAAAGTCATTCGTACACTATTATTTTGAGGAAAGGCTTTATTGTATCGAAGATAAATTATATAATTATAATTTCTTTTAGTTTTGTTATTCGTTATTGAATATGTCCGAATGTAAAAAATTAAAAGAAAAATTTGCTTGAAAATCTTTGTGTTCTGCATCAGTTGCTATTAAAAGAGAGACATAATTACAAAACATTTAATGTTCACAGTATTAATTTTTGAATAATATCATTTTCTGAGGATATTATCTTAAAGTTTTCTTAATGGTATATATATATATATATATATATATATATATATATAAATTTAAAAAAGCTAATTAATATAAAAATAGTAAGGTGAGTGAAATGGTCAAACTTTGAGTTACGAATGTTTTGAGTTACTAAGTAAATTATTAAAACGTTAGCTGTTTTAAACCAATGACCAAATTAATAATCCTTGGTAAGTATACTTATAGCTATAAAGTATATTAAATTATTGTATAATGTTTGTATAACAATCGTGATAACATTTGGGTAAAATATAAACATAATCAAAGGCTTTATTCTTGAATATGTATAATCGAGGCACAGGTATGTATATATTAAATAATGTTTTACAGAAGAAACAGTTATTGGAGAAGAGGTGTACCTTAAGTAAAGATAAATGAAGGATAGCACGAGCGGGGAGGGGAAATATCGGGCTCTTTATATGCAAACGGGACCGCTGCGCGTTGCAGGTATTGTTCGAGCTTCGAGCTTACCATCTCTTCCCCCCCCCCTTCCCCACCCTTACCCACAACACTTGTACAGCTTCAGGCTGCTGGGTCATAAATTGCTAGTGCTTGAAGAGATGCGCACAAAATTAAGCCTCTCTCCTTCCTTCCGGGACATCCTGCCTTTTCTGCGACTTCTGTGATTAATTTCTCGGATTGCCCGAGAATTGGGTCTTCTAACCATTTACGACAAAGAAATATGTACATGATATCGCATCTCTCATATATTTCTGCATTTTTTATGCTCGCTGCTACTTCTTTATTTTATTTTTTTTTTTTGTGCCAGCTATTTTCGGTCAGTAGGTGACTCGGCTCCTGTGAGTTTGAGGCCGAGGCAAGATGAGCCGCCCGTGATAAATGGGTGTGGTAGGGGGAATTTTTAAATTACATGCGTTGATTCATTTTCTACGAAAGTTGTTAGTGCAGCAGAGAGATTATCTTAAGCAATATAAAAATGCAACGCTTTAGTTAGTGAATTATTTAAAATAATCATTACAATTATTTTAGCCGCTGATACTATTATAATTATCAGCTAAAAATGCCCTAATTAATACAAAAGAAGTAATATTTAAATCACATGTAGTATTTAATAGTTGGGCTATGAATATCTATTTGATATTTTCATAATTTAAAGAATTTGTTAACGTTTCTTAAGAAATTGATGATCTTTAACCAAACGTGCATTTTCAGAATAAATATTACTCCATTGAAAGATTTAGAGATAATTTTATTCAAACTTGTACGTGTAACAATAAATAATTTTGTCTTTAATTATATATATATATATATATATATATATATAAAAAAATAGAAAAAAGAAAAAGAAAAGAAACAGATGAAAATATTATATTCCTATTTAATAATGCTAGCTTTATAAAACTCGAATTATTATTTCCCTTGAATATGTATATATTTGCCAACAGGTAAGAAATATTCTCTCGGCTCATCGGCTTCTGACAACTCTATCACGATCCGGTGATAAAAATAGCAATTCATCTGAGCGAGACGGTAATGCTACTTAGCCGCGAGAAATGTCTAGATTCTTTTAATATCGTAAAGAATGAGAACTATGGCATAAAGAAAATTCAATATTTTATAATTTTATTATTATAAATACTTGATATTTCAATACTAAAACTTGACACTGATATTTCAAATTATATTCAAAATTTTACGTGAAATATTTTAAAGCTTAACTTGAAATTCAAGATCCGACGAACTTTTAATTAGAATAAACCTTCAATAAACTGATGTATTTAAGAATTTCAATATCAATATAACTGTAATCATATTTATTTTAAACGGAATATAATAAACTAAAATACTATTGTTTTATATTTAGAATTTTCAAGAGAAATATTACTTTATTTTTTCCCATTAAAATAGTTAAAAAAAAAAAAATACTTTTTTGTATTTCACAGACAGTTGAACATAGATTTTCCAAAGCAAGTTATAAAAATATTAGTTTTTTCAACAATTTGATGGAATTTCGTTTTTTTTCTTCTATCTATCATTATTTTTCTAAAATGGAACATTTATTTTACAACGAGGAATCGAAATTTTATCATTACCTACATTCGCATAAGTATATTCTAATAATATAAAATGACAAATCGTATTATGTATATGTAAAGATAGTTTGGGTACAGTTATTAATTATGTACATTTTATAGAATAATAATCATTAATAATTATTTCTCATATATTAGACTTGCCTTCAATAAATATATGATATAAGTATTAAAAAATCATTTAAAATGTTTGCTAATTATTTCAATTAAAAATCTTTATAAAATATAAGATATAAATGATAATGTATTGAATATTTGGGCGATTATTTTAATTTGAATTAAACTCGGTTAAACTCGGTTAATATAAAACTATTTTTCAGTCATTTTCTCATATAAGTAGAGAATTTTCAATAGATTAAATTTAACATTCAATAAATTTACTATAATAATAATCGATGCGCAGTCATATTGACTTTTTTTTTTCAATTCTCATTTATCTCGCTTGCAGGTATGTAGTTTTGAAGACTCTTTGAAGTTTCTTAATTAAAATTACATATTTTTTATTTAATTCAAAGACATTCTTTTATCCATCACAGTATATATATGTATATATATATATATATATATATATATATATATATGTATATATATAGGCCATATTCGGTGTGCGTATAGAATAACTTTACATTTTCTAGTGAAATATCATTCAAAACTCAGTCACCGACTGTTAAGCTTAGCTTTCACTCGGAAACTTACCTTTGACAGAAGTGACTAGGGTCAAGTGCTGGGCGTTCATTTCGGCAAGTCTACGAATCACGTCAATTTGCTCTAAGGAGAGCTGAACGGCGTTGAGTTGCGCTGCACCGCATGGCACATACGCTGACCAAAACTGAAACAAAATTAAAAAGTTTTGGATTATATGTCGAAAGTTTTTTACTTTATTTTCTTACTTAATACTTTTGTAACTTTCAAGGTATCGATCGTTTTGTCATTGACACAATCTTAACTTGCTTGATATTCAAATTTTATAAAAATATTTGTCACAAATGCATTTGCATCCAGTGCCTGTTTATGTGAATAATGGAGTGAATTTGTAAAATAGTACACAATTGTACAAATGCTTTACGCTATTAATAATAGATTAAAAAACCTTAATCATCCGAGCTAATAGTATTTCTTTTGAGAGTTTGATTTATAAAAATGTTCCAAGACTTTGGATTAAGTTTTTGTAACTTTTAACGTATCTATCCCATAATACTTTCTGAAAGCGTACGGATCATTTAAAATAATTTAGGTATTAACGAAATTTATAAAATATTTAATACATTAGTTATGAAAAGTAACTTTAAATAAAAGTGTTCGAGGACTGAAGCGATTATATAATTCACGATGTTAATAAAATCTATTAACTGTTACAGAAGCGAAACATAAATATCATAAATTGTTATACTACAGAAAGTTAAAGTACTTGTTAAAGTTCCTAGAAAACTTTTCATAATTTTCATAACACATATATTTTGATAATACAAATTCTTCGAGTCATTTATTAAATTTTTTTTATAAATAATGATTATTTATAGTTAATGTAGAATATAAAAAATGTAAAATAGTGATTGTATAAATAATATTTCTATATTGAAATCTTTCAATCTGAAGAGAAATTTTGAATCTTGGTTTTATAAAATATTAATTGTAATGCATACGTACGAAAGATATTAATATATTTATGAAAAAAATATAATAGATATTCATTTATATTTAGTAGTTCATTTTTACAATTTAATTAGTTTGCAGGTTCTATTTTACTTTGAGTAATTCTACAACTGAGACTTGGTCTATCGAACTCGTTTTCTCCAATAATGTATGTACAGCAAATAAATAAATGGGAATGTTCCATATTCTCTTTCAAAAATATTTCATTATTTTTCTTAATAAAATTAATGGAATTAAGTATGAATGTAACCATTGATTTAAAATAACTTTAGAGGTATCGATGACAAACTTTCAAGGTTACGTAATGAACGTTACGTAATAGATGAAACGATAAACTTTAGAATTTTTCAAATTATTTTTCTCTCATTTGAACTTCCATCATACGAAAAATTCGAAGTTTTCATAATTCAAAAACTATAAATCTTCGTCTAGTTCAGAAGTTACAAATATAGAGTTGTCTCACAATACTGCAAAGAACAATTTTTAATGTTGCCTAGGTAATCATGAGCGGTTGTAGTGGATTTTATGATCTCTTATACTTACTTTCTTTCTTTCTTAGTACTCAATTATTGTTTCTTTTATAATCGGTAAGTTTTTCCTTTTTTTTTCTTCTTTTTTTTTGTTTTTTTTTTTTCATACGCATCGTTATTAATTGAAATAAATATCAATATAATTACTCTTGCTAACATTGGCCTAGTGTTAATGTTTAAACATAAAACACGTGCTATTAAATTTTTGTTAATAATAAGTTAAATTTACTTTTTGTAAGAGCTGAGTATAATATTTATGATGTACTCGTTAGATTTCTATACAAATATTTATATATACAAATGCGTAAGTACGTAAATATTTTAAAGTTATCTTTTTAATGTAGCAAATACTTAATAATATCGTATACTTTGCTATTTAATTACGTTGGTATTACTAACATTAAACTTTACTTCTAAAGAAAACCTTTTACCAAAGCTTTGAATTTTATATATTGTAATTTACAAACTCCAAGTAAATGTAAAATATACAAATAATTTGATTTGAGTTTATGATAAAGTTGTTAAAAATTAAGGTTTGATAATGACTAAATATTAAAGTATTTTATATACTTCTATTAATTAATATTCAATTAAAAAATTAATGATATGGTTAACAAGTCCCTGAAAACAAATATTAAATTAGATTTTCAATTCAAAATACTAATACGATTTCGATATCAAAAAATTTGAAATTAATATTAATTAAAATGATTATAAATTATGATTTATTTGTAAATATTAGAAATTTTTAAATTGTTTATGGGGAAATTTAATTTTGCATATTAATGAAACGTTAATAATTTTTATAATTTTCTAAATTTAACAAATATCAATAAATTTATTATTAAACTTTATATTTCAATTATTATTATTATTATTATTAAGTATACATATATGACTTTTATTATTTTAGCAATCAATTATCGATGAAATTATTAAATTTTATATGACTTCAAAATTCAAGGCAAGTTCATGAGATTATAATGTAAAAAATTATTAAATTTGTGTATCATTGCAAAAATATACTATTAGAATAAAAATGTTTATTTTAATCCTTGAAATATAAATGAATTTATAATTATATTTATTATTGATACTTATCACATTATTTGAATTCAAACTTTTGTTCTCATTCGATCAACATCTCATCACTATATATACATAAATCTTTCTTTAATTCCTTTACTTAATTAATTTACTTAATACATTATGTCATATATATATATATATATATATATATATATATATATATATATATATATATATATATATATATATATATTTACTCGATTCATGAGCTTATGTACAGATTAGCATAATAGGTGTACGTGTGTATGATGTGGTAGCAGCTATGTGTTTAGCATAGTGAAGGGCTATTCAAAAGTTTATTCCATTACCGTTTAAAAACTAAAAATATAGTATTTTCATTGTTCTAAAAACTTATAATCATTAAATTAATATAGTAACTTATGAATTTTATGTGTTTACTGCTAAGTAAAAATATCCAGAATCCTATTTTGTTTTATAAATATAGTGTAATTAATACATTAAGTGAATTGTGTTACCATATTTGTTTCTGGAAAGTATCGAATAATCTATATAATATAATTCAGAAAATTAGAAGAGAAAATTAGTTTCTTATATATATATATTTGTATGTTATATTTAATTTACTGCTTATACAAGGCTGAGCTACAAAGTTTTTTGTGGATTGATTCAAAATGATAAATGCAAGTTTTATAAATTTGCACAGTTAAGTATTTGGTTAATTTTAATATACAAAAAAATTAAAAATTAAAGCTAACAATCATTAATATTAAATAAATCATTTGTATATTATAATTATTAAAGACATGGATTATTAATAACAAAAATAATGTTCATTTAAATAAATTCATATGCATAGATTATACGTATGCAGGCATTAAATTTCATAAAAATGAAATTAATTACTTGTAGGTATATTAACAATATTTCATAACTTGTTTATTAATATTATAAATTGCTATTATAATTATAAGGGCTACTAGTATTTAGTAGTTTATTACCTATATAACAGATCGAATAGTAATATATATTGCCACCTAAAGTTTTTATATTAGCAAAATTAATAACCACGAAAATGTTTCTGTTATAACTTATGAACATTATAGTTCAATTTTATTTTTATTTATACAAAACAGGGTGAATGGAGTGAAAATATGTAAGTGTTGAATTATTAGTATAATAGATGTATTAAATGAACATCGTGAAAGGTAATTCATAATTGAAGACATTATGCACGGGAGCGATAAAAAATGTTGAAGTACTTAAAAGTTTTGTTTATAAAGAAAACTATGGTAAATATTCTTTGTTTTTCTTTTTTTAATCAAAATGTAGTTATTTAACTATCAGAAGTTACTTTTGGCAAAAAAAATCTTAAAATAAAACAGAAAATTCTTCTACATTATAGGAAAAAGTTACTATAATTTAGTAATAAATATTATTTTATTACCACATACTGTTGAAATAACGGAATTGTAAGAGCTTAAAAGTGCTTGAATTAAATAATCTTAATTATTAGAAACTTAATTATTATCCAAATATAATACTGGTATAACAAATTGAAGATATTCACATTCTGTGTTACACGTATTATTAGTTTCTTGTTCATTTAACGTTTTACCTGCACATTTATTGAATTTTGATAAATAAGCTTAAGCATTACTTATATTTTCAGATACTATCTATTTTAATTAAATTAAGCAATAATGATGTATAATATAACTTCAACAATTGTATAAAACAATATAAATTAGTATAAAGCCTTCGTAACTTAAATAAATATTTTCTAATTTATAATAAGAATTTATGATACTCAATACTTGTTATATACAATATATATATTACTGATATATTGTATAAAAACAAATATTTAAATACATTTAAATTTTATATATTATTTTCTTATCACTCGCATAACCTTCAATAATTTTGAGAATTCATGCATTATACATACATTTATGCATTTATGAACGTATGTATACATAAATATATAAATGTGTATGTGAACTTATATAATGTATGAATTATTAAAACCTTGAAAGTTAATTGTATCGACTTTAAACAAATGATGTATACTATTTAATAATTTTGAAAGTTTCTATTAATGTAAAGAGATAAAAATATTATACAAAATCTTTCATTTTCATTTACAAGTACTACGCTAATTTTTATGCAATTTCAATGTAAACTGTCGCCAAGTTTATAATAAAACAAATAAAAGAATATTGTAATTTAATATCGTAATTTATAATAAGTATTTTTAAATTTGTTAATTAACTAGTCAGTATTTAATGTATTTACATATTTATAGATTTTGTATATCCTTGACTACAAATATGAAGGTAATCTTATCACATGAAAAGTAAATACTTATTATATACATATTTACTTTTTCAGAAACATTTAAACAATATATTTCTATTAACATTAACGTACCGTTAAAGTATTCATTTACATTATTAATAATATTTAGTTAATTATATAATTGCATAGACTAGTAGACTTCTTTCTATATGTATAAACGTACTGTAAAGATTCCTGAAAATAAATATTTCTTATACAATATACTGTCTTACAATATAGGATCTTTCGAGGAATAGTT